GAGTTGGATCTACTGCAGACATGATGGCATACAAAGCGCGAAAGTTCGCTTCTTCCGCTTGTTTTTCATCGTCAGTCCAAAGACTCCTTGGTTTTTCAACAAGAACTTGAGTGGAAGACATAGACGACTTTGAATCCGAAGGTTCACCTTGTTTAAATTCAGCGGGAGCTTTTGGCATAAGTGGTGTCGACCATCCTGATTCAACGGCCTGCCACGTGCCTTTACCAAGGGAACGAAGAAAAATTACCATCATGGATTTCCAATAAGCATAGTTTGCTCCATCAAGGAACGGAGGGCGCGAAACAGACATTCCATCGTGACTCATGGTGACCAACACACAGTCCCAAAGATCTTTATCCCGTAGTAAGAACAGGAACACTGCTCTGATACCAATTGAAACGTATATTTGTCACGAAGTGCGCGAGTAATAGTAAGAACAACTATGAGAAGTGTAAAAAAAACGCGGAAGCAAATAACCGAAGATTGATAAACTCTTCAGGGAAGCGTCCCACTTCCCCTCAGAGCTCTTTCATTGATAGATCACTCATATACATAGCTTGGACTTACAAAGATTCGAACTCCCTTCAAATCTAGCCAACACTACTTGATCCTATCAACTAATCCTCCGGCCACGTCCCGTGGACTTATAAACCTACACTTACTCCCTAAGTGTATCTACAGTAAAATAGTTTTGATGAGATGACTAAAGAACAAAACGAAAGCAGTACTAGTCCTTGAGTTTGTAAGAACTCTTAGACTGAACTGAATACAATCGAAATAGAACCGAAAAACAAAATGAAGCTTGAATGACACTCGAATATTTCTCAGTATGTAATCCGCGGCAGCCATAAGCTTCTTCTAGGGTATATATATGATCTCCTTAGGATTGGAGTCTTCTACAAGGCATAGGTCTTCTTTCAAGATTTCCTTCCAAGATAATAGCATATCTATGGCAAGTAAATCTTTTATTCTCTCTCCTTGATCTCCTCTCCAAGCATGTCTCTTTTCTCCTTCTTTATCTCACCACACGTAATTTCCTAGCATATCAAAACGGTAATAAGATCAACATGAACTTATATAAGGAAAATAAAACAATATTACATAAGGAAATATAATATTTAAAGATCTTCCCTTTTATTCTGTGGTTCCAGGTGCTTGTTCGAACTAATCGAACTAATGCCAAAATAAAATATCTTTCAACATACACACATGTGCCGCCACGTCTATACTAGTAAGTAGTAACTGTGTATGTGCATCTAATCATTACCTAAATTATTATAAATATCATACTCAAATTCTCGAGACACTTTATAAACATCATGCGAGTGGACTCGTCACATTTTATAAATATAAATGTATATTTATACTATTAAATATTATACATCATTTATTTATTTATTTTATAAAGAATTATATTTATAATAAAAGTTTATTTTTAAAAGAATTATGTTGATCTTGGTTTAGACCACCGTAACAAAAAATAAATAAATAAATAATAAAATACTGTTTAAGGTAAAACCAGAAACTTGAGCTTATATATATGTTGCTTTGTGCCAATGATGACAACACTAGGCAACAGTGAAATATATTCACTTTACAACGAAGTGTAGTTATTCAACCACTTTCAGTGATATCATATTTGATTAAATTTAACCTACAAATTTAGATAAAAAAAAACTTATCANNCCCTACATATTTAGAAACTATTCAGTTTTCTGACTGTAGAAATGATCTAAAAGTACTTTCCGGTCACAATTTATATTATACCCATGAACCAGTTTAAATAATCAAGTAGATTTGTATATACCAAAACATATCCCCCAAAATCAAATGTATAAATTCATAAAAAAAAATTAAATCGTAATTATATATGCCTATGTGTAATTTATATAACAGCAAGGCAATCATTTCAAACAAGAAATACAACGAAACGTTTTACGTTTGGGATTAAGGCAATTATATATCATGCATATTTTAATTATTAAATATTGTATTTTCAAAAATAATATAAATATAAATATGACATTTTAGTATTTTACTAGTACGGTGCCCGTGCAATGCACGAGAGCATTTATTATTATATATATTTTTTAAAAGATATTTTTGTATTTAAACACTTCCGTATGTACAACATTATTGATTCGATTCTTTAGCACGTAAAGTACTACATAGGTGTTCGAATTTATCCAAAATTGCATATTATTAGTTATTAGTTTACAAATTTTAAAAAAATTAAAGGATCTTATTTATTGAACAAAATTAAAGTAGAAAAAAAAGTAAAATTTTTTAGGGATTTTCACCCATTAATTATTTTAAATCTAATTCTAAATTTCAATTAAGAAAAATTGAAAAGAATCATTAGTTAGTCCCGGAAATGACCGATTTTTCTACCAATAAACCGATTTTTTTATCAAACAAATTGATCCGAATTTTTTTTAAACCAAATAAAAAAAATCATCAATTTTTCCTAAAAATGCAACCAAATTTTTCTAACATTGCACCAATTTTTGTACCAAAAAAATTGAATTAAAAATAATTCTAATAAAAAATTAAAATAAATTGTTAATGTTTATGCAACTGTCTCTTTCCTAAAGAAAATGATATGAGCTTAACAAAAAAAAAATGATATGAACTTACCAAAATCTCGGTAAAACATGGTTAAGAAAAAATATAAGAATCCAAAAAAATCGATGCATTTAAATTTTGAAAAGTTGCACATATTTTTTTCCTAAATAATTGGATAAGGTGACTTTAAATATCAATAATGAACCGTTTTTGTTACCAAAAAATGTGGACACAATTTTGAATGTACATCCCGTCCAAATATCAGTTTTATTTTAAAATAAAAATTGCACGTGGCTTTATCCAATTTACACAATTTTTTTGAAAGAAAAAGTTATTCAATAAGATTGTTAAATTGGTTAAGAATTATACAACTATTTGCTTCCTAAATTTGTATCCAATTTGCACGATTTTTAAATTAATTTGTATTTAAAATTGCTTTCATAAATAATTGATACATTTTTTGCATAAGAATCTCCAAATTTGTTACTAAAAAAGATATGATTTAAATTTTAGTTAAAAAATAAAATATGATACGAAAAATATGGGATTCAAATTTTGCCATAAGAATCTCCAAATTTGTTACCAAAAAATTAGGATTTAGATTTTGTTACTAAAGATTCACACGTGTTTTTTGAACTTTCCATTAATAGTAAGTCAAACATTATATTTATTTGGTCAAACTTTATATTAATGTATTTTTCCAACAACCTCTATATATATACTAGTGAGAATCTCGTGCGATGCACGGGAGTTTCGTACCTCAAAATATTTTTTCAAAACTTTATTTTAACAATATATTAGCCTGCTGACCCGTTTATATTAATATAAGTAATATTTTAATATATATATATATATTTTTTTTTAATACAAAAAAATAATAATTTTACATATTTTGGTTTATAATAATACTCAAATATTATTTTATTCAACACTTTATTGTCGTATAATGTAATTAGTATTAATAACACTTATAGAAGTAATATTCTTTTTTTATATAATGATAAATATTTAATGTATATTAATATTATTTATTGATGTACTTAATTTGGAAATATATAAGCATTTTTAGTGTTTGTTAGGAATGTGATTAAATGTAAGTTAAAATAAAATGGAATGTATCCAATAAATCTGCTTATGATCTCTTCCTTTAAATGTTTGAATGAATTTGAAATTCAAATTACAAATCAACCGTCAATTTTTCAAATAATTTCAAAAAAATTATCAATTGTAGCAAAATCTAAATTTTTATGCGGGATTTTACTTTCTACTTAAAGGAAATCCCTATTGCTATTTTATAGTAATAGATTGTTTATTTTATTATCTATCATACCTGTAGACATGAAATGTTAAAAATGAACTGCCCTATTCCAATCAAAAAATAGTTATTCAACATTTTATTACGTTATTGAAATATTAACTACATGTTTAAAAATTAGAATAACGTTTTTGTTGATATCATGTCAAACAATCAAATATTATAATAATTTGTTTCCTCAAATTATTTTAATGTGATAGTTTTCCATGTATCATCCATAAATTCAAGGTTCAATTGGCGCATGCGATTTTTTGAAAAGAAACACATATTTATCAATTCACATTGTAGGATTTGTTTTATTTTAAAAGCTTTTATTCGCTGATGGAAAAAAAAAGTAAGTAATTTGTACAATATTTCCTTAAAAGGAAAGTCAACATTTAATTAAAAAGTCAAACTTTCTATTTTAGTATTTTACCAACAACCTTTTTATATTAGTATAGATATATAGATATAGATATAGATAGAATGAATAAGCATTTTTCTGTATGCAGGGGTATTAAGTAAATTTTTCTCTGTGTTGAGGGCAATATTGTAATTGCATCCTACTACGGTACAATCATTTTCACGGCTATCTGGTAATCATAATCCATAATAATCTGCCCATATTCTTCCATTTCACCTATCTCCCCTATGCAATTCTCTCTCTCTCTGCCTTCCATGATTTTGCATTTAGAAGCTCTGGGTACGCTTTTTCTCTTGCTCTATCTTCTCTCTCTGTTTATAATCTTTTCTGTTTTTATTGATTGTTTTTTTTCACAATGCGATGTCTGCCTGCGTGAATGATATTCGAATCAATGCCTGACAAAGGATCATCGTGATCGATCTTTGCTTTCTTCGGTCAATCTCCCTTTATAATGCTCACGATCGGTTGATTTAATCTAGCGTTCCATTTTTGTGCATTTCGTCGATTTTGGGTTGTTTGTGCGGGCATGAGTGTGCGTAATTTAGTGAATATGGAACGATCATACGTTTGTCGACTTTTTTTTTTTGTTTATTCTATATATATTTGATTGTGCGAGCATGAGTGTGCGTAATTTAGTGAATATGGGATGATCACGTGTTTGGCCACAGAATGACATAACGTCTCTTCTGCATTCATAGATTTCTAATCAGAGATTTCATGGCCTGGATTTGTACTGTTAGCTCTGAATGCTAATGCTCAATCGAGAATGATCTTAATTTTCGTTCTGTAGCTGGTTCCATATTGATAATTTTCCACAAACAGGGCTAGCATGATTCCTTAAGCAAAACGACGAGAGGGAGGAGAAGCATTTTTTTTCACGACCAGCCGTGGAAAGTTTCGCCGCCATGGCTGCTGTAAATCCACAATCCCCAAACTCCGCGACCTTTGGATTCATGAATCATTTGTCATCGGCAGCTTGCGAGTGGCTCCTAATCCTCCTGCTCCTCATAAATTCCTGCTTATTCCACCTGCTCGCCAGATTCGCCCGATACTGCAACCTCACCCTTCCCTGCCTCCTCTGCTCGACTCTCGACACCGCCCTCCTCAAAAGCAAACCCGGCACCACCTACTGGAATCTCTTGTGCAACGACCACCGGCAAGAGATATCCTGCCTGGTCTCGTGCACCGTGCACAGCAGATTCGCTGATGTCAGCTCCCTTTGCGAGGAGTGCCTCTCCCCCATCATCAACCACAGCAAGCTCACATCTGACTCGTACAGGCTGCTCGTCGGCAAGTCATGGCTGGACGTGGATCGATCAGTCCTCCAAAGCCTGGTCTCGAATAAACACATAAGGTTAGGCTCGCCTGACCATAGGACGTGTTCTTGTTGCGGGAAGATGTGGAGAGCTAAATCGAGCACCGAAAGGCTTCTAGAGCTGAATCCAGCCAGTTTAGGGGCGTCGAAGGCTAATGTGAAGCCGCCGTTGCCTCGGGCCCCTGGTCGAAGCCGGTTTAGCCGGCGTGACAGCCTGAAGAGGCTGAGGGATAAATTCACGAACCAGATTGCTTCTGTGGGGTCTGCTGGTGCCGACACGCTGTCCCATGTGGGGTATACGAAGCTGAATATCTCGTCGGACACGGAGTCGGAGTTCCCGTTCTCGGAGGACGATGATGACGGCAGGAGCACGAGCTCATCCCACGTGGCGGCTGCCGTGGATGGGAAGGAGGAGGCATCAGTGGAATCGGGCAGTGTAGATTTTCCAGGTGGCGATGGTTTTGGGGAGGGGAGGATGGTTAGGGACCTCGGCTGGCGTGAGTCTCATGAGAAGGGGGCACCAGTGGATTCGGGTGGTGACGGGAGTGTAGGTTTGCCAGGTGGCGATGTTGTCGGGCAGGAGAGGATGGTTGGGGACGTCGGCTGGCGTGAGACTCATGGAAAGGCGAGCTCTAGTCCTCGCTTGTCGTCGGATTTGATATCGTTGGGGGACTGGCCCCAGGAGTCTGACGTGGCAGGGGTTTCGTTGGGCCCGTCGGCTCTGTCTGTGCTGTCCGAGCTTCTGTCGCTCTGTAATGTTCCTTCGTCGCCTGGTGCAATATCGAGGAAGGGTAAGCTACAAGTTGAAAAAAATCAGAAGCTTTTGGCTATAATTTCTATACATGCTGTAAAAGTGCCTTTATTTGTGTGTACAATTTAGATGAAAAGCAAAAACATGAATTTAAGGCACACAGCTGCTTTGCCTTTTGGATTATGAATAAATTACGCACTAGAACATGGCCATGTACTGTCATTGTCTTTGTTGAGTAGTTTTGGTGGTCCTAACTAAGTTTTTAATGTCCTTTTTTTGTTTTTTTCTTGTTTTTTACTTCTTTTAACAGATGATGATGCTGAGGGAACTGGTGAAAATGGTTACACATTCCTGGATAAAAATATAGAAGCTGCTATAGCCGCATCTTTTGACTATACCCGCCCGTTAGAGTTGTACAATACTCTACGAACTAATGTTTCGACTCAAACAAACAAAATCATCTCCCCCTCTTCCTCCCCATCATCATCATCATCATTGTCATCTCCGAATGATCCCGACCCAAGCACTAAAATCAAAGAAGAAAACAACCCCACACCTCCCGGAATGGGGTCACCGCCCAAACAAACGAGCCCGAGAGCCAACGACAAGCCTAGAACGGAACCAGAAGTTTCCAGAACTTCCAACTCACCTCCATCTTCATCCTCGTTAGAAATATCTGACCCCAACCATGAGGTCCCGGGTATAACTACTGCCGAGGGAGAGGCTGAAAACATTGTCGAGAGCCTAAGACAGCAGGTGGAGCATGATCGGAACCTTCTGAACACTCTCTACAAGGATTTGGAGGAGGAAAGAAATGCATCAGCTATTGCCGCCAATGAGGCCATGGCCATGATCACTCGTCTGCAGGAGGAAAAAGCCGCGCTCCACATGGAGGCGCTGCAGTACTTGCGTATGATGGAGGAGCAAGCGGAGTATGATATGGAGGCTTTGGGAAGGGCTAATGACATGCTGGCTGAGAAAGAGAAGGAGCTGCAGGATTTGGAAATCGAGCTGGAATTTTACCGGAACAATTTTCTGGATGAATCGGGAGTGCATAATTTGCAGAGCGAGAATAATCGGGCTCCTGTCATGCATTCGGGGGAGAATGGGGTTCTTGAAGCGAGTAATGGTTCTTTATCGATTTTTGAGGAGGAAAGGGCTTATATATTGCAGAGTTTGACGAAATTGGAGAAAAACCTGCTTCAGGAAGAATCTAATGACTTGCCTAATGGTTTGGACCTGGTTCGGAATAATGAGGGTTTACTGGCTAAGCATGAAAAGGATAGCATGCTTGTGGAGGATGTTATTATTCCCCTATCGAATGGAAATGTCGATAGGGACATGAACCTGAATGATAATGTTTGCCAGAAGGGCGAAAAGGTATTGGAAAATGGAGGTAAGGTGAATTCTGGTAAAATTGAGAAGGAAATTAGAGAGCTTTATGAAAGATTGGAAGCACTTGAGGCTGATCGGGATTTTGTGAAGCGTACTTGTGTTCTGATCCATAATGGGAAGGATGGATTGGAGTTAGTTCAGGAAATAGCCCGCCAGCTATGTGAATTGCGGAAGACAGAATTTAAAAAAAGATGACTTTCTGTGCATGCGTAGAATACAGAGTAAGTTTCTTCACTCAACTGCGAATGAGTTTATTTATGATTTGAAAGAAAAAGTGTAGCGTTTTGAATTCACCTTAAATCACAGGTGAAAAGAAAAAACTGATATAACTGCTGATTCATGCTATAGTGAAGACACGATTTTCTTATTTTTCTCCTTGCCTTCTGGTTGGAACATCTAAAAGTAACACGGATTTCTCTTTTGACTCTGCTATTTTCTAGCTCTACTGTACAACAGAAAGTTCTATACAAGAAGATTGTGGGGGATAGAGAGGCATTGGTGAGTACACTCATCATAAAGGAGAGGGACATGAGAGTTGAATTTTTTTATTTTTTAGATTTTATCATTAATATAGGATGGTGTATATACAAGAAATGCTGACCGACCATGTGATGCTTCAAGAATTAAACTCCGGTATGATTGTTTTTTCCGGATTTATCAGCTGAGACCATGACCGTGAGGGTGTTCGTCTTTTCCCTTTAAAAATACTGTCTTGTAGAGTTTCAGGTGGATATATTTTCTTGTGATGAGCTTGTAACAAGAGATCACATATTTGGCTCCAGAAAAGCCCTTTTTCTACCTTTTGCATGGTGAAAGATAGCAAAATAGAGTAGTGTTGGCATTTTATTTTGTGTTAATTTTTTTCTTTGTGAACTTTTATGCAGTGAAACTGTTGTGCTTTCTGAGGAATGTAGATTTCTTTGTTTCTCTTTTAATGATAATAATAATAATAATAATAATAATAATAATAATAATAATAATAATAATAAGAACAATAACAAGGATTTATAAATACTCTATATATCATAAATTCATAATAGAGTCCGTTTGCAGAAGAATAAAAAATAAAAAAAAAAAGAAGAAAAAAGAAAACGTGAAATTTAACTGTCACACCGGCCTATTATCCCTTGAGAAAATCAGTGTCTAAACATAGTCCTATAGCCATAGCTAATTAAGTCAGCGGTAGACAGTAGAGCCAGGAATGGAAAGCAACTGTGTTCATGTGATTTGCTCCTTGCAAATTGCAATTACCACTACAGAAATCCATAATTTGCCTAATCATATACACTCAACTCTTATGTGTATATAAACTTAAACTCAGCCCATGTAAACTCATCACAATTCACAATCACCACATCCATCTTCATTATCTTCATCATCTTCATCTTCTAACAATGGCGGACCTTCACTTGGCTCCTCTCCTCCTCCTCATACTCCCACCACTCATCTTCTTCATCCTCGCCGGAAAACGAAACCCTCCCTCCTCCAAACTCCCCACCCGATATCCTCTACTCGGCTCCATCTTCCACATCTTGAAAAACCGAGACACGTTCGTCCCGTGGGTTTCCAACATCCTACTCTCCACCCCCAACCTCACCTTCACCCTCCACCGCCCCTTCGGCCACCGCCAGGTCTTCACCGCCAACTCCGCCAACGTCTCCCACATTCTCAAGTCGGCCTTCCACAAATACCCCAAAGGCGACCTCCTCCGCGACACCCTCCGTGACCTCCTTGGCGACGGCATCTTCAACGCCGACGGCGACATCTGGAAGTTCCAGCGCCAGGTGTCGAGCCACCAGTTCAACACGAGGTCCCTCCGAAAGTTCGTCGAGCAGGTGGTCGACGTCGAGCTCGACTCCCGCCTCATCCCAATCCTCCAAAACGCCGCCGGAAAATGGGACGCCGCTCTCGACATGCAGGACGTTCTGCAGAGGTTCGCGTTCGACAACATCTGTAAAATCGCGTTCGGTTACGATCCCGCTTACCTGGCGCCGTCCCTCCCGGAGGAGGAGTTCGCGCGAACTTTCGACGAGTCGCTACGCCTCACCGGGAAGAGGTTCAACACTTTTTTCCCCTTCGCGTGGAGAATCAAACGGGCTCTCGGTGTCGGGACGGAGAAGGAACTTACGATCAACGTCGCGAAAGTCCGAGATTTCGCGAAGGAGATAGTCAGGGAGAAGAAGACAAAGACATGCTCATCATCATCGTCAGCGGCGGAGGATCTTCTGTCGAGATTCGTGAGCTCCGGACATTCGGACGAGGATTTCGTGATCGATATCGTGATAAGCTTCATATTGGCCGGCCGGGACACGACTTCCTCGGCTCTAACGTGGTTCTTCTGGCTGATTTCGAAGAATCCGAGTGTGGAAGAGAAGATTGTGGAGGAGATTAAGGTAAACGATTACGAGGCGGCGGGGAAGAACAATGGAGAATCTTGGTCGTCGATTTCCGAGACGCGGAGCTTGGTTTACACGCACGCGGCAATTTGCGAGTCGATGAGGTTGTATCCGCCGGTGCCGGTGAGCACGAAAACGGCGGGGGAGGACGATGTGTTGCCGGACGGGACTCCGGTGAAGAAGGGGTGGAGGGTGAGCTACCACCCGTACGCGATGGGTAGGGTGGAGGAGGTGTGGGGAGCCGACTGGCCGGAGTTCAGGCCGGAGAGGTGGCTGAGGAGGGAGGAGGAGGGTGGAGGGAAGTGGGAGTTCGTCGGAAAGGATGCGTATACTTATCCGGTGTTTCAGGCGGGGCCGAGGGTGTGCATGGGGAAGGAGATGGCTTTCCTGCAGATGAAGAGGGTGGTCGCCGGAGTTCTGCGGCGTTTCAGGGTGGCGCCGGCGGAGGGGAGTGGGGAGCCAGTGTACGTGGTGGAAGCCACTTCCAAGATGAGAGGGGGTTTTATGGTAAAGATTGAAGAAAGGGTTGGTTTTTCGGGCGTACGTGGGTGAAAAGTAAATTTATTTTAGTTGTCTTGTTGGACGGTGAAAAAAGACCATTTTTTACAAAAATAAAATAGGGTATTTGATTTAGGTAGCTGTTTTAAAATATACAACAACGTTGGTTATACCTACTTAGCCTTGTGTTATACCGAACAACGTGTATTACATTACACATATATCGAACAACAACGTGTACTACATTACACACACGTTTCTTAAGTAAAAATATTTTATTTAATAAATTAATCACNGTTATTATTATTATTATTATTATTATTATTATTATTATTATTATTATTATTAATCCAACATATCTAATCAATGCTAAAATATTTTCATTGCACTTTTTTTAGGGTTAATGAAGACAAAAACCATTACATTTTATATTAACGGAGTAATAATTATACTATTTTATTATATCATATAATAGTTATTATTAAAGCTAATAACTATAGTTTACACTAAATGATATATTAAAGTTACATAAACATAAAAAAATATTGTAAACTTTTTGCTAAAGTTATTTATTCTAAAATTAATATTATATTTTTATCTTATTTTAATATTATAGTAAAATTCCTTAAAATCGCATAATCAAATGTTAATTTAAATTTAGTATTTTTAAGCTAATAAATTGGCAATCTCTCAAAATTCCATTATTTATTATACTTTATGTAATTAATATAGTGGTTCATATGCAATCAAATAGTTATGTACTATTTATTTTAACCAATGATCAAATTTAACAAATAATATCATTATGGAATTTATATTTTTATTATTATATGCATAAATATAACTTATAATACTCTATGTTTAAAATATAATATCATTGGATAACTTATAATTTTAATACTATATGCATAAATGTACATAAATATAATATTCTATTTACATTGTGCAAATGCACAGGGTCGAATACTAGTTTAGAAATAAGTACACAATAAATATAGATTCTCATAGCCAAACTTAAAATGAATCAACGACAAAAAATTATCGGTTTGGTTGGATGCAATTTTTCGTCACATTTCTTTTGGCTGGCCGCGACTCGCTCCGCCCTTTTATGGACTAGGTTTTGGATGGTTTGTTTGTAGTATTTTGTGAAAAGATGGTAACTGAGCTACCTGACTCGGGTCGTTCTCCCAAGAAAACTATTTGGAGTTTCGTTCACTACTTAGTCGTCAAAATCACATAACCGAAAATAGGGTCTTACACATTCTACTCGCTTGAAGGGATTAGTCTGCACGAAATTAAATTAAGAATATAAGAGCAAATGATGAAAAATGCAAGTTTTAGAAGAAAGATCGAAACTTTGGTTCCACGGGATCTCCATAACTCAAGAAAATGAAAATAAGCAAAGAGAAAACATGCTAACTAAGTGATCTTAGGTAATCGAACACGAGCCTTCTAAACTAAATCATCACGCTTTGAGCAAAGTCGAGATCTTTACAGAAGATAAGCACGTATTGGATTCTTAACACACTTGAGCAAGCAATGAAAATAAAGTAAAGACCTAGAATCAAGCATAGACACAAAATTCGAAAACAAACTCGAAGTAGTAAGCCCTAAGTAAAGTACTTACTCTTCTATTGCATGCCCGAACAAAATAGTACGTAAAACTCGAGTCTTGTTTAAAAATGAAATCGCCGGAATTTCGCCGGAAAATTGAGTTATTAACCTCCAAACCAAAACATAAAAATAAAAGAGAGAAAATAGAGAGGATTTCCCAACTTAAGAGTTGGGAAATGAAGGGTGATGTCAATTTATAGCTACACCACAAACACACACTAAAAACACACACATTTTAAAATTTCACACTTGCCCCATTTCCGCCCGAGCGAAATTCTCGGTGAGTGCTCCATGCCGCGGGCGAATATCAGTCCGCCTGGGCGAGTTTTGGGCGAGTGCTCCTTGTGGCCTCGGGCGAATGTCAGTCCGCCTGGGCGAATTCCAAACGAGTGCTCCATGTGGCCTCGTGCGAATGTTGGTTCGCCTGGCGAAACCTGGGCGAGTGTCCTGGCCGCCGGGCGAACACTAGGCGAGTGCTGGGGCGTGCGGCATGGCACGGGTCTTGACTCGCGAAGGGCCTGGGATGGCTCAGAATAGACCGGACGGCTCGACAATGGTTCAGATGGATCTCGGGACAACTCGGTCGGCTTGATAACTCGTACGGCTCGTCTTCTCAAACTAGCAATGATGGACCTATTCAACACCAAAAAGACAAGAAAAATACGGCAAAATAAAAAACACAACGAGAGCAAAAATATACGAAACACGATAAAATGAACCGGTCGACACTAAAATGAACCTAAAAAGACTCAACTGAAGCACGAAAAACACACGAAAATAAGCACAAAAACACAATAAACATTATTTTCTCTCTTTTGCTCCACCTTTTGGGCCGGAGGTGGTTCCAGTGACGACAGGGTTTTTCGCCTCACTCCACCTTTCCAGGTTTGAGTAGGGGTCTAAGTGGATGGCGGCTCCTCCGGTGAGGCTTGTTGGGTTTGGTTCTTGGCGTTTCGATCTCTCTCTTAGGCTTGAAGCTTTTGGGGGCCCAGACCTGGGCTCGGGTATGTCTCTTTGCCTGATCTATCAGCCGTTCGAGTCCGTTCAGAGTTCTTAGTTCTGAAGGCTCAAGATTTGTAGTCTTCCTTTAGTTTTTGGTTCTGAAGGCTAGTCTGTATGTTAGGGTGTATGGAAATAGCGGGAGCTAGTGAATAGAAGAGGGGTTTTATTATAGTTTTATTGTAGGTGTATATTATTATTATTTTTTTGTTTTTTTTCGGGTAGTCCCATCTAAGTCTATATTGTAGACTCGTAGTCTACATAAATCCAAGGGGTGTGAATTTTTAGTAAGTTTACTTGTCATTTCCCCTTGGTAGTCTACATAAATACCCCTTTGTGAGTTTTTTAGTAAGTTTAATTGTCTTTTCCCCTTGGTAGTCTACATAAATCCAAGGGGTGTGAGTTCGGTCATGTACTAGCTTTTAGTTATTTATATAATTACTTGTCTGTTACGAAAAAAAAATAAAAAAACTAACAAACCAAATCGGAGAATACATAATTGACAGCTACTGCACAACTATTATATAAAAATGATTCTCAGTGAAAAAAATAAGAATGCATCGTAGACATTAGACATTAGATTTGATAATCCAACAACTGAAAACGAGTCATGATTATACACAAACCCAACATATGGGACAACCCCCTTCACTCTCTCAATCTCTCTCACCTAGTGCCCTCTCTCTCTCGCACACAAACTTGATTTTCGTATCTGCAAAGTGCACACCCGCCGAAGCAGACCACCACCTCGCCCCACCGGCCAATCTCCGTCTTCCACCGTCTCTCTCAACCCCCACCTCATCGCCATCATCCACAGCCCCACACTGACTCTCTCCACCCTGCCTCACAGGCGACAGCCTCATACCCTCCCTAGCCGCCACCTCTTCTTTGCCCCGCCAGACTGCCTCTTCCCACCCCCAGCTGGCGCGAGTGACGTTTCCCTACTTCTCATCGACTTCTACCCTGCCCACTGAGACTCCAATGGAGTACCTTACTCCCAGATACATTAGTGGCTAACTTTAATTTTTTTTTTAAAAAAAAAAAGACGTTGGCCTTCAGTTAGCGTAATAGTGTATTCAGTGCAATGAAAAAACCGCGTGAAAAATCAAAAGTACACATAATTATAGTAGTGTCATAGTGTCATCGCCCATTTGACAACAACTGGAGTTTTGAGCATGCGTGGAGCGTTGATATACTACATCTGACATCTAAGGGCTACGTTCTATTAATTTGTCACTATCACTCGTTCTCATTTGATCTTACTTTTATATATATATGTGTGTGTGTGTGTGTCTGTGTGTGTGCGCGGGCATATACAATATTGTAAATATATTGATGTATTTTTAAGAAAAAGTCGAGTAAAATAAGTGATTCGAGATAATTTCAAAGTCAACGTAGGAAATATTGTTAATGTTGAATATACTAGTGTTGATATCCGTGCAATTAGGGCTGCAAACGAGTCGAGCATTGGCCTTATCGAGCAGGATTGAAATTTTTTTTTAGCTGCTCGAGCTCGATTTTTTAGGCTCGAGCTCGACTCGATAAAAAATTATAATAGCTCGAGCTCGGCTCGAGTTCAGCTAAAAAATTTTTAAGTGGAAATGTAAAATTACCATTAAGCACATATGGTAATATATATAAAGGGTATTTTAGTAATTTAACATGTATCTCGAGCCGCTCGACAAGCCAAAATATGAGCTCCAGCTCAACTCGAGCTTTGACTCGAGCGGCTCGCGAGCCGCTCGGTTCGTTTTATAGCCCTACGTGCGATGCAGGGGGTGCAATACAAAAAATAATTTTTATTTAAATATTATAAAATTATTTAAGACAGTATGAAATTATATTTTTCACAATATTCTATTCAGTAATAATACAACAATATATATATATATATTTGTAGTTTTTGACTATTTAATATATAAATTTTATTATTTATAAGTTTATAAAATATTATGAAAGTATAAGATCATATGATATTTGCATACAAATGTACTTGTATGTGCTTATAAAATTGTCGTTTATCATAGTCTTATAATTTTTTTAACAATTCATAATTTGCACATTGCTTGATAATTGACCAACGTTTAACTCATAATATTTATCTTCCGCTATAATTATTAAGTGCATTAAATGTTAAAAACTTTGATAAATAAATTTTAGTTTTTAGTAACTTTAATCCTTATGCAACACACAAATTTTTTATGATTAAATATTTTATTTATATGTTTCTATTTTTTATTTATAATTATTTCTTTAATTTATTTTTTCAACCTATATAATGAGTTACATAGTATCTATTCGAATATTTAGATATATTATATATTTCTATAATTACCAAGTGCTATAATTTAAATTATTATATATTGGTTTTTTATTAACTTATTTTTTTATTTATAAAATAGTATATAAGAAAAAAAATATATATTTTTAAACATTGAATA